CAAAAAGCACAATCCGAAACAACCCTATCACAAACCAACCAAGACAATGCACATATAAAAAACAGCAAATGCACCCACTTATTCCCATGCGTGCACACAACAAACACAGTAGTTTACATTCCAACATTCACACTGCGGAATCCTTTATTACAATTTAACATTGCCTTTTAACTATAATCTGATAATTAAAAACAGATTTAATAGACAAAAAAAGAATACAATTAAACCCATAAAGAACACCGATGAGCATATGAAGCTAGCACAATACTTGGAAAACAAACTTCACACAAAACAAAAAACTACGCACACATCGGTACGCAGCAGTGCACCCACCTGAGTAGAAAAAGAAGCTAACCACCTAACCCATACATCACAAACCTAAACAAATTTGTAAATGAGTTGCAAGAACATGTACTTTGTATGTTTCTAAAATCTGTCATACTAGCATATTCTAGACATCTACTTAACATTATATTAACATCAATTATGCTTGAAAGGAGATTCAGGCTGCAGCCTGCAAGTAAGAGTTCTGCCCGGCAGTTATTTCAAGGCAATATGCAATTTGGAGATTAATCACTACTAACGAACTATTAGGCATCGTACAGACAAATATATTTGAATATTAACATTCTTCATAATATCAAGCCAGCCTATACCTAATTTGTGTTTAATTTCCAATCCAATACCACAAAATGGAACAAAAAAAGAAAAAAAAAAAAACTGATGAATTACAACTCTAGGTGAACCACCGAAAACAGAACCCCGCAACCACACACCCCTCGCCTAGTGAAGGAAACACACATGCATAAACACCTCCGCCACACCCCAAACAAATATAACGCAAAGGAGAAAAGTGGGAGAAACATACCTCGACCTAAGCCATCAGGCGGTGTTCCCCGACACTTGGGCATCACCGCGATCCCCCCCAGCGACCATATCCGGCAGCTGATTAAGACGGCGACTGACGGCGTGGAAGAGAGTCGTGGACGATACACGGAAACGCGAGAAAGAGAGAGATCAAGAAGATCGTTGGAATTAGGACTAACTATTCAAATTCCAACATTCACACTGCGGAATGAGTTTACATTCCAACATTCACACTGCGGAATCCTTTATTACAATTTAACATTGCCTTTTAACTATAATCTGATAATTAAAAACAGATTTAATAGACAAAAAAAGAATACAATTAAACCCATAAAGAACACCGATGAGCATATGAAGCTAGCACAATACTTGGAAAACAAACTTCACACAAAACAAAAAACTACGCACACATCGGTACGCAGCAGTGCACCCACCTGAGTAGAGAAAGAAGCTAACCACCTAACCCATACATCACAAACCTAAACAAATTTGTAAATGAGTTGCAAGAACATGTACTTTGTATGTTTCTAAAATCTGTCATACTAGCATATTCTAGACATCTACTTAACATTATATTAACATCAATTATGCTTGAAAGGAGATTCAGGCTGCAGCCTGCAAGTAAGAGTTCTGCCCGGCAGTTATTTCAAGGCAATATGCAATTTGGAGATTAATCACTACTAACGAACTATTAGGCATCGTACAGACAAATATATTTGAATATTAACATTCTTCATAATATCAAGCCAGCCTATACCTAATTTGTGTTTAATTTCCAATCCAATACCACAAAATGGAACAAAAAAAGAAAAAAAAAAAAAAAAAACTGATGAATTACAACTCTAGGTGAACCACCGAAAACAGAACCCCGCAACCACACACCCCTCGCCTAGTGAAGGAAACACACATGCATAAACACCTCCGCCACACCCCAAACAAATATAACGCAAAGGAGAAAAGTGGGAGAAACATACCTCGACCTAAGCCATCAAGCGGTGTTCCCCGACACTTGGGCATCACCGCGATCCCCCCCAGCGACCATATCCGGCAGCTGATTAAGACGGCGACTGACGGCGTGGAAGAGAGTCGTGGACGATACACGGAAACGCGAGAAAGAGAGAGACCAAGAAGATCGTTGGAATTAGGACTAACTATTCAAATTCGACTACAATTGAACCGCTAACCCAAAAACAAAAACCCAAAAATACCCCACTTAAAATAAAACACACGCCTAAATGATTAAAAGCTACCATAGAGAATCAAAAAAATCATGTACATCCAATCTCAAAATCCAACGATCCTCATGAATCCACACTGTTTGTATTTTAAGCACTTTTTGTATTTGAATATAATCCTATACACGTATATATATATATATATATATATATATATATATATATATATATATATATATATATATATATGTGTGTGTGTGTGTGTGTGTGTGTGTGTGTGTGTGTGTGTGTGTGTGTGTGTGTGTCTGTGTGTGTGTGTGAGTGTGTGTGTGTGTGTTCAAATAGAGGACAAGTATACTGTGAGGACAGATGTAGTGTGTGTCATTCGCAGGTATGTCGTGTGCATGACCGAATGTAGTCGTGTGGCACAGTTTGTATGTCGCGCGCTAGATTTGTTAATTTATAGAGCCTGGGTTCGAAACCCGATGTTTACATATATTCTTGTGTGCCATTATGTATTAAGTTGTGTGCCTGGTATAAATTTATTGTGTGCCCATTATTTGTCCTCACAGTCCTCTATATATTGTTGTCCTCATTTGAACTCAACCCTATATATATATATATATATATATATATATATATATATATATATATATATATATATATATATATATATATATATATATAGGGTTGAGTTCAAATGAGGACAACAATATATAGAGGACTGTGAGGACAAATAATGGGCACACAATAAATTTATACCAGGCACACAACTTAATACATAATGGCACACAAGAATATATGTAAACATCGGGTTTCGAACCCAGGCTCTATAAATTAACAAATCTAGTGCGCGACATACAAACTGTGCCACACGACTACATTCGGTCATGCACACGACATACCAGCTAATGGCACACACTACATCTGTCCTCACAGTCCTCTATAATATACTTGTCCTCATTTGAATACACATCTATATATATATATATATATATATATATATATATATATATATATATATATATATATATATATATATATATATATATATATATATATATATATATATATATATATATATATATATATAGGGCTCACATTAAGCATTAAATTGACGCACTTTAAGTACACAACACACGCACATTAAGCTGACAAACAAAATACCTTCAGAACACAAACCCACGCACCTTAAGCATAAAACTCACACATCTTAAGCACAGCCCTCATGCACCTTAAGCACAAAACTCGCGCACCTTAAGCACAAAAACACATGCATCTTATGTTTCAACAACTACTCACATTAAGCACAAACTCACGCACCTTAAGCACAAGACTCACGTACCTTAAGCACAAGACTCACACACCTTAAGTACAAAACTCACGCACCTTAAGTACAAAACTCATGCACCTTAAGTTTCAACAACTACTCACATTAAGTACACACCCACGCACATTACTCACCGCACAACCGCACAGGAAACATGCACCCGCACTGGTACTTAATTATATATATATATATATATATATATATATATATATATATATATATATATATGTATGTATGTATATATAGGGTTGAGTTCAAATGAGGACAACAATATATAGAGGACTGTGAGGACAAATAATGGGCACACAACAAATTACTATCATGCACACAATTTAATATATAATGGCACACAATTTAGAATATAAAAATATTTATAATAATAAAAAAAATAATATTAAATATAATCCTACAATATTAAAAAATCAAGCAAATTTAAAAAAAAAAAATCAAAACAAAAAAGGGATTCTTCATTGGTTTCCGGCGGAAACCAGAGATCTGGTTTCCGTGCCAAAACCCAAAACAGATCTCAAGTTTCCTCGCCGAAAACCAGATCTGGTTTCCGCGCGAAAATAAGATGGGTTGTTTTCAGCAGCCGGAAATCTGGGGGTTTTCCGTCTCGTTTCCAGCGGACCAACATACCAAAAGGTTGTGTTGAAGATGAAGAAGTTCTTGTTGAAGATTATGGCTGAGATGTTAAAGGTCGTGGAAAAGGACTTCCCAAAAAAATGGGGAAGTTGTTTTCCAAAAAATTAGCCTCATTTTCCTTTGACCAAGCCTTATTTTCTATTGACTCAAGTTTTCCTTTGCTTACCAAACATATGAAACCCGAAAAATGATTTTCGGAAATCATTTTCCGGGTTTCCAAACACACCTTTAAAAGAATCGTATTACAAGAATGCCAATAGAGTCGTAATATGTATTACTGAGTGGTTAAAATATTATTTTCTTAATAACATGCATATTATGTGAATCATTCATGTTGTCATTCATTTTCTTAATTGGTTGTTTAGTAGAGGCAGATTAAAGAATTTTGTTTTAGCTAATCCCCTCAAAAGGCACCAATGATTTGAATACAAATTTGTCCAACGATTTATTTCAATTGATCAATTGATCCAAAATAAGTTCCATCATAAGTTTTACTTTACAAACAACCTTATTGACAGTTGAATTTCCCGTAAATTACCTCATTTTTGTTTCTTCAAAACAGGAACAGTAAAGAACCTCTAAATTTGATATTTAAACTTATTAATTCTTGGAAAACACGGTTCAAAAGGGGCAAAAGTAAGAATGGAAAAAGAGAAAACAAAATATAGAAAGGAAAGCTCGTTTAACTAGAGTGGTATAAGTACATATAAGAAGATTGATAAGACTATTTTAAGTTGCATGGATTGAAGCAAAATTCGTCTTGCTAAACGAGCTTGAGTATCTGATTCTCTTTATTAGGACTCAATCTATGTATTTGAGTCTACTTATGATTCCCAATCCTAGTCTCCCTAAGTTTCTCAATCCTAGTCTCCCTAAGTCTATTCCTGTATATATACCTATGTCTTATACTCTTGTCATTCATTACTGTTAATACAATTTATTACAATTCTCATCTAGTATCAGCTAGCTAGGGTTTCTATCCA